CGCTGTTTCAGCCCTAATAATTAAATTAAACATGAAGGGAAGAGAGCTGCCTGCAAGATCTACAAGCTGTGGAGGTGTAAATCACACCACATAACTAATTGATGACGTTCTGTGCCCTGCAGCGGTTTGTAGCTGTAATTGTGTAATTGTAGCTGTGATTTCCGAGGAATAGAAAGCTGGCTACGCTCTGTCCCTGCACCCAAAACTGTAAATTAAAAAGAGGTCAGGTCAGGTCAGTGGCTGAATGCAAGGAATGTTGTGTGCATGGTTCAGCTGGAGACATTCAAACGAGGCACTTGGATTTATATTCCTCCCCCCCCCCCAAAAAAAAAAAAAAAAAAGGGATTTCTGAGTTTGTGAAACGTTGTTTCTCATCCATTCAAATTGTCCAATTACATTTTTCCGTGAAAATGCACTCGAGTGGACTTTTTAGGAGAATAGCATCCAACCAGGCTTTGAAAGAAAATCTCCCTTTGCTCTGCCAGAACATGGGCAAATCCAAGGGTGTTTTTATTTTCAGGCTGTGTCTCCTATGTGCTGCTCATATCTCCTAAATCCTGTGACTCAGATTCTTTCCTCTATCCACTGCGGTATTTGTAGATACTTCTAGAAATACATTGGTGTAATAAAATAATGAACTTCTGTGTAACGGATTCCAGCAAAGGAGCACAATCCATCAGAAAGGTAAGGGAAAAAACAGAGATAAAATAAAAGATAAAGGCAGTAAGGGAGAACTAAAAACTATGGGGTTTAGTTCATAAGTGCTTGTGTTCAGCAGACAATCTGATGGCCTTCAGTTATTTCCCACTCCCCTTTTTCAGTGAGAAGGGAACAGCACTGTGCTTCCTTCCAGCTCCCAGGGAACATGTCAGGCAGCCCCAATCAAGCAGTGCTGGCTGTGGTGACACAGGCAAAGCCATCTCAGGCTGCATCTTGTTCTTCCAAAAGGTATCAGCTGGTGTTAAATTGAATTTCTTTTCTTTGTTTGGTTCCACCATCCCTGTAGGGATTTAAAAGCCATGTGGATGTGGCACTTGGGGACACGGTTTAGTGTCAGCTTTGGCAGTGCTGGGTTAGTGGTTGGACTCAATGATCTTAAAGGTCTTTTTCCAACCTAAATGATCCCGAAATTCTATTCATTTTAACTGGAAAAAGAGCAAGCCCCTTAACCTGACCACATCCCGAAATATTAACACATCCACAACCAGAAAGACAAGTGAAGACACAAAACCGTGGTAGCAAAATACTTTACTAAAATACCATCCATGGAACAGCTCAACATTCCCATGTTCCATGCCAACGATGCAAACATTCTCACACGTTTTGGGGCAACATCATGGAGTCACCTGCCCAAATCCACGAGGAGCAGCATTCCTGGCTGATCCAGCACAGCCCTGGTGTTCTGCTCAGCTCTGACAGAAGGCAGAAGTTTCATTAAAAAAATCTACCCTGTGTTCCCAAAAGTGCCTGAGAGGGCTGGACCTCCTCGGTGAGGCTGAGCCAGAGGAGCTGAGAGACCGAATCCTTCCCGCACATTTTGGGCAATGCTACTCTACACTAAGGATATGTTGGTTGATGGAAGTTGTGGAAAAAAAACAAAACAAACAAACAAACAAACAAAACCCCAAAACCAAAAAAACCCCACACAACAACAAAACAAACAAACAAAAAACACCCCCAAACCAAACCAAACCAAACCAAACAAACAATAAAACCCAAAACACAACAAAAAAAACCATTTATTTTTCTGTATTCAAAAAATGATCTTGGAAGAAATAGGGTGTGTTGAGATGCACAATTTTAACTAACCCGGTGTCAGCTCCGTTGATTTTTTCCCTCCTCCCTGTTTAAAGGAGAAGCAATGGAGTGACTTTTAGCTGACCTTTTTATAGTTATCCATAAAAAACCTGATGTAATGATTATCTGACCCAGAAAGCATAAAAATGTTAGGAGAGTGCTCTGCTTTCCCAAACTACCCCCAAATTGCCTGAATTCTTTTAATAGCCCATACAAAACGTAAAAAACAAGCCTATGTACACTGCAGTATTGTCTTTACAGTTCTAGTTATATTTCTGTCCATTTTGTGATGGCATTCCGTAGGAAAATATATAGAATTTGGCAAAAGGCCACAAATACTGTTTTGATTGTGTTAAAATTCATGATCTGAGGTCTAAGCTGCAAGTGCTAACTTCATTTAGCTGATACATATAAAGTCACTAGCACAGTGGTTTTATTTAAATAAAGGAATTTGCCTCGCATGCAGTCATTTTTATTTTTCCTAAATCACCTTTTCCAGCAGGATTAATTATTATTAATTTAATATATTCTTATTCAAAGCAGCCCAGGGAGCTGGGGGGGG